ACAAGGGTAAGGATATAACTCAGTAATAACCATCTTGGGCCAAACAGACTCAGTGTGGGTAAATTAATTTAATTTATTGCAAATCAAAAGTAGGATAATATGAAATAAAAACAAAATCTTAAAACACATTTCTCCCACTGGTCCTTCCTTCCAGGGTTCAATTTCATTCTTGACTTCTTTACTTCCTCCTCCTGAACAGTGGATGGGGAATAGGGGTTCAGGTCTGTTCTTAATGTTTTGTCTCTTCCTCCTCATGCTCTTCCCCCAGCATGGGGTGCCTCCCATGGGAGACAGTCTTTCACAAAATTATACAACACAGGTCCTTCCCATGGGCTGCAGTTCTTCATTAACTGCTCCAGTGTGGGTCTTTTCCACACTGGGCAGTCCTTCAGGAACAGACTGCTCCAGTGGGGGTTCCCAGACGGAGTCACAGGTCCTACCAGAAAACAGGCTTTATCATGGGCTCCTCTCCATGGGGAGAGGAGCTGTTGTGAGAGGCCAACTCAAGGATGGACTTTTTCTTCTTCGGTTCACAGGTTCCTTCAGGGAGCATCCACCTGCTTGGACATAGGATCCTCCACAGGCTTCAGGGTGGATGTCCGCTCCATAGGCTGCAGGGGCACAACTGCCTTACCACGGGCTGCACCACAGGCTGCAGGGGAATCTCTCCTCCAGTGACTGGAGCACCTCCTCCTACTCCTTTCCCTCCAGACCTTGGGATCTGAAGAGTTGTCTGTACTATTCTCACACCCATCCGCTGCTGTTGTGCAGCACTTTTCCCCCCTTATTAAAGACACTGTTAAATACGCTGTCACTGTGTGCTGCCACCAGGCTCAGCTTTGGCCAGCAGCGGGTCCATCAGAGCCAGCTGGAGCTGACTCCTTCTGGCATTGGGGCAGCTTCTAGTATCTTCTCACAGAAGCCAGCCCTGTAGCCTGCTTGGTACCAAAACCTTGTCATGTAATACGGATAATCCAAAAATGGGTTTTTAAAATTTTATACTAGAATTTTCTAAAAATTTGTTTGGGAGGTGTAAAAGACAAGCATCTTGAACAAAAAAAAACAGTTGAAAGAATGAAATAAAGGCTCCAATATTTTGTCTCATCCCTATCCTGGCCACTTGAGAGGGAGGTACCTGGTAGACAATGAACTGAAGGGTGGAAAGGAGGATGGTGTGGATTAGGTTGGCAGCACATATATGCCCTGATTACTGATTACTGATTACTGATTTTAGTATTACTGATTTATTTCTGTGACTCATTTGTCTTTGCCAAAACCTCATGATGCCACATTTTCAACAGTATGACTCCAGGATCAGGAACTAAATTAATAAATTCCATTAAATTAAATTGCTAAATTAAATCTCTAAAATCCTCTCCATCCAAGAATATATGGTCTTCAAAGTGTGACCAGAAATTAAGTGTTGTTAGGTTCTTTGATAAAAATCTCATCTCCACACTCTAAATTTGGCACAGAACAACAATATCAAGGAGGGGAACCTTCATCTTTATGGGGAGCTCAGAAAAAAGATTCCCTGTCCCAGTCTCAGGATTGTCACAAAAGAGAACTGATGGTCATCACCTGGGTCTGAAACACACCAGATGAGTCTGGACAGGCCTTCCAGACAAACTTAGTGGTTGAAGTCAGGGCTACAATAGATGCCATTTGGGTTTTGCCTTTTTTTATTTTATATGTTCTCAGTATTCTTCACACATATATTTGTAACTCTGTCACGTATTGCATTAGTAGCTAGTTTTCCCAGTAATTTTCCATGGTGTTTCCCTAAGCAGAAAGACAAAACAAATGCCAGAGCTCCAAACCCTGGGTGATACAAGGCTCCATGCTACCTTGGTTCTTCCTGGGAACCAAGGCTCAGAACAACACTTCGAGATACATTTCATGGACAAAGTACAACTAGTGCTGAAGGGGGCTCCAGAGAAGGGGCTTGGCCTGGAGGGAGGGGGAATTGCATCACCACTTGTCCTCCTAATTGGTGTTTTTTATCCATTATACTAATTTCTTAAACCTATAAAAATGTACTCACCCCTGGGAGAAGGTGGGTGGGCTTTTGTGGACATCTTTCCATAACTGCCTCTGAAGGCCTTCAAATAAAGATCTCCTTTTATACTACCTCCTTACGAAAATTATCTTGAGTTCAATTTCCAGGTTAGGCAAAAGAGGGTATAACACATACTGTGGGATGCAAGGGAGTAGAATAGAATAGAATAGAATAGAATAGAATAGAATAGAATAGAATAGAATAGAATAGAATAGAATGTTCATCAAGTCCAACTGCCTGATTGTCACAGGGTTGATTCAAAGTTAAAGCTGTTTTTAAGGACATTTTCCAAATGCCTCACACACTGACAGGCACGGGACATCAGTAACCTCCACAGAAGACCTGTTCCAGGGTATGACCATCCTCTTGGTAAAGAAATGATTCCAAGTATCAAGTCTGAACCTCTCCTGTCATTCAGGGAACCTTAGGATTACACAAGACATCTTTTGGCTGGTGTAGGAGATAAAACTAAAGGTAGAGGAAGGGAGGGCTTATCTTGGCTTGGAGAAAATGCATCATAGAGGGCTAGGAGGATAAAAGCAGTTGCCCATGTGTAAACAGGTTGCTGGGCAGTATACTTGTCTGGCCATGACCCACACCCTGATCACCTGCTGTCCCGTATTCTTCCTAAATTCCATTTCTAACTATTATCCTAAATGAGTGGACTCTGTTCTGTGTGGATATGATTCTATGGATGTCTAAGAGTCAGCAACTGAAATTGGACAAGGGATTATAGGGCTTGCAAATCAGCAGAGTCATCAACTGAAGAGACTGGAGTGAGTAAAAACAAGCAACAATAACTGCACTGCAGATAAGGGGTTATATGTGCCTGTGGTGTGAGCAATTGGACCAAGTGAGAGTGCAAATATTGAACCAAACTAGGTGGAGAAGAGATTAAGAGGCTTGGGACGGAAGAATGTCTCTGAAAGTGAGGCAATTGGAGAAGGTGACTTCCAAAGGGACCAAGAAGTCTATGTCAACTGATGGAGAGGATATAAAATCTGAAGGTAAACTGAGAGATTGCATGTGTCTCTGTGTGTGTGTGTGTGTGTGTTTGTGAGTGTGTGTGTGTGTGTGTGTACATGTGCAGGGAAGAAGCTGGGGACAACAGTGTTCCAGGCTGGAAGGAGGGCCTGTCTAAGATATTGGGTGGTGTTTGCTCAGGAGAGATCTGCAGTGTGCATGCTTAATGTGCTGCTCTGTACAAGGAAATCTGTACCAGCAGCTGAAGTGGGACTGTGAGGTGTGGGGAATAGCGTGCCCCAATGCCAGTAACTGGGTGACCTAGGATCCACAGCCAATTACTGAGTGGACTGCATGTCTAAGCCCAGCTACTGAGAGAACCGTGGTGCACGTGAGTGAGGAGGTCTGCACCAGCCCTTGGAGAGGTGTTCATTCGTGAAGGTACAGCAGCTGGGAAGATTGGAGATTCAGGTACCAGCAGATCAGGGGTCTGTGTGTCTGTGGGTGACAAGTGAAGAGCAACAACATTGAGACTGCAGGTCTTAGGAGCTCGTATGTCCAGGGTACAGCAGTGGGGCACATTGTGAATCCAGGGGTAGACTGAGTATCTAAGCTCAGCTACTGGAGGAATCCACATTATACAGAGCATATATTTCCTAATAATACACTTTCATCCTGATTAGTCAAAGGGCAATAAGATGAGGCCATTGGTGCTGTTCGTGCTTGTATGAATGCTGAGTGTTTCTGGCTGTATTGATCTGTGTAGCTGTCCACATGTCTATGCACATAGATATTGCCAAAACGACGTTGTATGTCTGTGCCTACCAAAAACACGTTTAGTTTCATTACTGAGTACCAATAAAGGCTGGAGGATGAAGGGATTTTGAACAGCCCTGGGGAGAAGGACTTGGAGGTGTTTGCAGATTGATTTGCAGACATTGATTTTGCTCTTATGAGAGATCACACTTTCATTTGCCCTACAATACCACAAAACCTTCACTCATACTACAGACAAACTTAATCCTAACCAGAAGGGTCCTTTCAAGTCTCTTTTTGACATTCTGGGTAATTTCAATAATTGCCTTGAGTTACTGAAATCAGAGTTTATAAGCTAATTTTATAATAGTTTGTAAACTATTCTGTATCCTGAGGCAAGTATAGACATATAACCAATTTAAAATTTAGCCATATATATCTCCTGCATTTGAAAAATTGAGAATCCATTGCACATCAGCATTTTGCTCTCCTCCCTCATGACTGTCGGTAGGTTGTTTTAACTTCATTCCAGCACAGCAGAAATCAAGTTAAAATCCACCAAGCTCTGCAGGGTCATTGGACTCTGGTTATAAATTCACAGATGAGGGTGCATAACGGCTGACTAGATTCCTGCTGACTCCTGGACTGTGTCTGTGCTCCAGGGTTTTGGATGGGGTTGATTTGTGGGGTAGGTTTGTGGCAACGCCTCTCCGCTGTGTCGGCCTCAGGCTGCTCCCAGGCGAGAGGCAAGCCAAGGGAAGGTGAAGCTTTTACTGAATGCCCGCTGCACCACACAGCCCAGTCTTTCACACGATGTGCATTTACGCCGACGATCCCAGCTTCAAGCACAGCCGAGCGGCAACCCAGACCCAAACGTGACAGGGCGCGGCAGAGCACAGCGGACATTGGTACCCCTCGGTGCATCGGGAGGGGGAGGCACAGGATGCGCGAACAGGGCGAGGCCCCGCCTGCCGCAGCGCACCTGCCGGCGCGTTTCGGGCGACGGGGATGACGGGGATAACAGGAATAACGGGGAAAACGGAGCGGGCGGGAGTACGGCCGCGCCAGCGGGCCATGTAAGGCAGCGCCGGCCGAGCAGTCCCTCAGGCGGCCCGCGGGGGCGGAGGCGGCCCCGGCCGGACGGCGCGCTGGGTGGGCGGTGCCGCTGCAACGGCCGCGCCGGCTGCGGACACCCGCGGCTGCTGCCGAGCGCGCCGCACGGAGCTCCGCCAGCCCCGCCGCCATCCGCAGCTGGCGGTGAGTGCGCGGGCGCCGCTCCCGGGCCGACCGAGCACCGCTCAGCCGGGGGTGGGTAGGGGGCTGGGTGGGGTGCGTGTCGTGTGCGTGTCGTGTGCCGTGCCCCGTGCCCCGTGCCCGCTCCCTTCTTCCCATCGCGCCGCTAATCGATCGCAGCTCGGCTGCCGATTGCGCGAGGGGAGGGGGCGGTGGAGGCGCTGCCGGGGGTCTGGCGGCTCCGGTGTCCCTTCCCGGTGCCAGCCCCCACCGGAGGGGCGCCCGAGCCCAGCCCGGCACAGCCGCCGCCGCCGTCGTTATGTAACGCCCGCGGGGGGCTGCGGGCGGCGGTGCCGTGTCTCTCCTTGGGATTCACCTCCGTGCTGTCCCCCCGATGTTCTGTGCTCCCCTCTGAGAGCCGGGGACGAGGGACTGGCGGGGAGCGGGACTCGGCGAGGGGCTGCACGCCTTTTCCTGCCATGGGATAGGCTCTGCAGCCGCATCCCCCGATCGCCATCGAGGAGGGACGCGCGGCCGCAGCCAGCGTGGGACCGGGGCGGCTTCCCGGCTCCCGGCGGCAGCAGGTCCGTGGCTGGGCGATGCTGGAGGCTGGCTGCGGGCGGCCGGCGAGCCCCGCGCTGCGCCCGCGGGCGGCTCCTGGAGGAGCCGGGAAGGAGCCACCTTGCGCGCACACACCAAATGCTCCGCATTCAGCAACAAAGCCTCGGCCGCCCCAGCTGCTGCTGCTTCATGCGCTCGTGCAAAGGCAGCGGCCCCCTTTTATGGAGACCGATGCGGAGAGGCTATTTGCCGTTTCTTTTCTTTTCTTTTCTTTTCTTTCTTTCTTTTTTTTTTTTTTTTTTTTTTTTTTTTCTTTCTTGAAATGCCCAAGCGGTCGCTGGAGGGGCTTCGTCTTCAAGAGCCGCTGCTGTATAGCGTCCTCCACAAAACCAGCATCAGGTGTGGGAGACCATTTAGCGCCTCCAGGGTAATACTTGTAGGTGTACAGCCATGTACTCCGGGATGGAAAACAAGGACGAGACAAAATCCTGTGTTTTAATCTGTAACCCTGGCTAGCTCGTTTGAAAATAAATACGACCCCTCCCCTGTCAGATCACCTGCAGTAGCAGTTATTTCTCCAGTCCTGGGTAAAAGCTCTTGGACATTGGTGAAATTATTCCAAGGGGAAGTTGGGTGTATGCTACAAGGTGCCGAACGCACGTGTGAATAGCATCTTAAACACTGACAGATTCGAATCACGTAGGAGATGCTGCTGACAACCAGTTTCCCTATTCATGTTTGGCAGGCTCTACAAATGGCAGGTTTGGGAGGGGACAGGTTTTTTTAGGATTTTACAGAGGGTTGCATAACTCCTCATGTTTATTGAAAAAAAGAAAGAGGAGGAGCAAACCAAACCTCAGCCTGAAATGAAACACGTGGTGCGAGACTGTCTTTTACTGAGCCGTCCTCCTGTTTTCTCAGCTAGCATCATTAAATAGCATGCTTTAGGTGGGTTGGAAAGGGTTAGCATGAGAGTAAAACATTAAGGTATGAGGTTTTTTCCCCTCTAGTGATGTGAAAACTTTGAGGAAAACCAAAGAGATACCTATACACTTTCATAGTCCTAGGCTTAAAATAGCATCACTGTTTATCGAACCGTATTTTTTAAAGGCAATGGCCATTTTTTTAATCCTTTAGTGATGAGCCACTTCTTTGTGTTTTGGGAGACCCTATCCCAACTCAAACTTTCATCTCCCCAGTCCAAAATAAAATGCTATTTTGAATGCCTTTGTACATTTCTGAGGCACAGTTACATGCTTTTAAATAGTCCATCATTTGTAACTGCTGAAGTGTATGTCCAGTATTAAATTATAGTACAGTGTAATGCTTAGACAGCCTCCCATGCAAGGATCAAATTGCAGATAAAGTTCACATAGGAATCTCCTGCAATGCCTGCACTTGACCCTTGTAAATCTAAGAAAAGATATTTATAAATGGAAATACACATCCAGCAAGTGGTTCTTTCTGTGTCATATTTAATCTGTGGCTTGACTGTGGTGAAAAAAAATTTTTATTTAATTTTTATAGTAGATATATTCATTCCAGTTACTTTCTAGAGGCAGCTGTGTGATTGTAGTGGTTTTGGTATTTTAATATTAATTTGCTATTTGATAGTGGTATTGGTATTTATGGTAGAAACTGTTTTTGCTTCTTTTTTCTTGAGCTTAATTTGAAAAAATAAAATAAGAGTCTTTCAAGGAGTGAGGCAGTCAGTTATGTCAATTTATGTTAAGGTAAGTATTCTCATTATACGTAAAAGCAATTAATTTTACTCAGTATATCTCATAGCACTTCAGAGAATAAGCCATGCAATGTTTAACCTTGACAACTTGCTTTCAGGTGATAAGCTAAAATACAAAATAAAATGTCATATGTTTTTCTTGCTTTACACACTTTAATTAGGGAAATCTCCAGTGTGAGGATGTGACCATACTCACAAGCATCTATCTCTCTTTGTTTATATATTATTGCATATATTTCATATATTACAACAAGAGCAGTCATTCTGTGGCATAGTCAGTCATTCAGTCATGTAATGTCCTTTTTTATTTGTACATGCATACTGCTTGTAGGCTTGCATAAATGGAATGAATTCTCTTTAGCAAGCAGCAAAGTTGTTTTTTTTGTCTCCCCTCTGAAACCCATTTTTATGCTGTGCCTAACTGAAATAAAATGCAGGTATATAATTTCCACACTTACTCTTTCTCTGCTGTACTGGCAAGACTGCTGTGGACATAAGTACTTCTAGAAGTCTCTGCCAGTTAGTTCAAAGGAAATATTTTGGTTACTGTTTGTATTGCCATAGTGTCTGGAAGCTGTGGTCGGGGAACTTTACTAATGTGTTGTGTCCAGTATAATGGAACTAAAACTTGGGCATGGCCCTCTAAATATTATGATCCAAAATAAAGAACAAAGAACTGTGAGTGGTGCAAAAGAGAAATCAGGCTGATTTTAAGAAGGATACATTGGTATGTGTGTGCATTATCCAGCTGTGTACTTTCTCATTCTTGTGTAAGAGCAATGGGAATTGTAGAACTTAATGTAAGACTGCCACTGTTCTCTGAGGGTTATCGTTAGGGCATGAGAATGGCTTGGGTTTGGGGGATTTTGAAATACGTCTGACTTGACAAAATGCTGAAAACTAAGGTAAAAAATCTACATCAACCCATATGAAAAATTTTCTCTTCAGACTACCTAATTTTTACAGTTTTTTAAATCTAAGGTAATATTTTAAAATTTTGAAATGGAGTTTTCATTTCAAATTCCATTTGTAGAGGAAAATATTGTTTTTCCTGTATTTCATGTTGTTTTTCCTTTTCGTCGGTGTTTTCAGTAAGCTGTTCTAGCTCTTTCTTCATCTCTTCCCCCCTCATGTGCCTAACTCCCCCAGAAATACATAATAATAAATACACCTTCAGCTAAAAGACATTTCCCAAATTGCCCGTACATAGAAGTATTGCAAGAATTTCCCATTTCATTGTAGGCTGTTTTTTGGGATAGTCTGGAATAGCGATGAAAAGAACTGTGCAGTGAAAGGATGTCACTGGTAAAGTACCCCTATATAAATATGGTCTTTAAGTACCCAGGGACTGTACATGTGTTACAGGACAAGTATCCTGCTCAGGTTTCAGGACACTCTTCCTGAGTGGGTGTTTATCTCAAGTGCTGACAGAGCAGAACAGACTGATTCTGTGCTACTCAGTTTTCTTGGCTCACAGTGGTATGTCCATCAAAACAGCTAGGAAGTTTTTCTTTATTGTTAGTTGTGGTGGGTGGGCAATCATTTTGCTGCTGCTAACAGGGATTCTTAACTCTGTCAGGACTCTGAGGCAGCTGTGGAGAAGCTCAGGCTCTTACTCTTGCTAGTTGTCTTAAGGTTCCCTCTTTCTTTTCCTCCTCACCCTTCTCCTCCCTCGTAGTGTCCTGCATTTGTGGTGTGAGTTTTCCTTGTCCTGGAGGGAAACCCAAGAGGTGGCAACCAAAAGTTTACAGATCAAAGGTTCAATGCATTATGTGGCTGATGAAATGATAAAAATGAATCTGCAGTGTTACTGTTTTAAATAATCATATTAATTTTTGCTCAGTTTGGCTAATTTCAGGAATATGCTTCTGTGTCAGTGTTCATATATTGGGAGGATTTGACAAAATGAAGCACAGAGAAACTTAAAATTAAAAAAATCCATGAGATAACAGTTTTTGCTTGAGTCTCTGAGGATTGCGGTCCTAGTTCAAATTCTTAAATGGATCAATGCTAAGAAAATTCTTGCAGTAGTAGTGAAAATGCTAAGACGTCTTGCTCACAAAATTGTTTTTCCATTGTTGATGACACTGTTTAATTTAAAAACCTTTTTTGGCCTCTTTTGATTTGAGTATTGGAAGGAGTAGTACCCAAATATTTCATCTTAGAAGCGCTTATAGATGTGAAAGAACTTACTGATTTAGCAAAGTAAGTATTTCCCTTCTTATTTTGGACCAGGCTGTGGGTGGTTGCAAAAAATCTGTACTTAATGTTTAATTTATTTTCCTGTATTCCGACAAAAGTGAAGTAGCAGATTTTAAGAACATAACGGATCTTTAGACAGTCTAACCTGATTCATGTATTGGTTATATTGAGTTAATTATCCAAGAGCAATAACCTAGATTTGGTAAAAGTCTGTCTTTCAGAGATACTTGACTAAATATATCTTCCGTATTGAAGGCAGTCTAATGTGCCAACATAAGGATGTGAAGTATTTGCAGCTATTCTTGGGAGTTACCTTTAGTACCTGATATGATTGTCTCTTCGTAAGGAAGTCGTATTTCTAATTTGCATAGGTGTAGCCTGAATTTTCAAGTGTTGAGTTTTTTGATATCTTTGGTAGTAAAGAGCCATTTGGTAGGTGATTCAGTTTCTCTGCAGAGGTGTTTGGATCTCTCAAGAATTCCACCAATGTAATTTGTAAAGTGTCTTATGGTAAAACATCTTGTCTCATGATTTTGCATCTCTTGTATCACTTTCCTTTCTTTGATCAGAG